AACAGAGGGGGAAGAGGTGATTCTTCCCCATCTGCAGGCGATTCTTCACTTACTTTGTGACTTTGGGCTCCTGGACAGGGAGGCTAGGGCAAGAATCGCAGGCTGGGTTTGACTGGTCCCAATCCATGTGGCCACTCAGAGAAAGGAAAGGGAAAGAAAAGGAGTGAGGACACATCATGCCCTTATTAGGCCTTTTCTCTCTACCCACCACAGCCTTAGTACTGTCCCCATGGTCTGTAGGACCAGGCCAGTTTCCCAGGTACACACCTAAGTAGTCATATAGGACCCCACGGTAGGCTTAATGCCCTGTGACATGTCACCATCATGCAATGCATAATAATGTCTTAATAACTCCATAAATTGTGCAGCCAGAGCTGCCAGTTTTGCTCAGTCCCCAGGTACCCATCTGCCCTGGTATTTGTTTCAGGAGACATATCCTCTGGATGCCTTGTTTTCCAGACTCCTGAGAGGACATCATGAAGGCCCTCCTACTCCACAGGCTCACCAGCCCACCACCAGCACCTTTAGGACGCATCTACCTTCGATCCTCAAGTAACCTTAGCTGCTTCTCTCAAACTCTGATGTCAAAGATTCCAGGTTGCTAGCTCTAGCCTCACTCTTCTCTCTGGCCACTGCATAGGCCTGTATCTACTAGGATCTTAGATCAACTCCTGGTCCTCTGTGTCTCACAAATGAGACCGTCCATGTATTCCTCAGCCAGAGCCAAAGCTCTATCCATCACCAGGTCTGATCTACCACTCTTGAAAATGAATCTCTAATTCAGCCACCTCTCATCTCTGCTGTTCCCACCTCTCTGTTCATCTTCCTCACCTGAAATGTAACATGGCTATAGATAACTTCAAGTCTTACCTCTAGCTCAGTTTACTCTCTCATATCAACAGAGGTCTTTGTGTAAATGTGTGTATATGTCTGTAGGCATGTATGTATGTATGTATGCATGCCTGCATGCATACATTTGATTTATTTTAGGTGCGGGGTGGGGGTGGGGTAAGAACCCAAGGCCTCACCCCTTCTAGGCTATTACTCTACCATTGAGCTATACTCCAAGCCCAGCAGAGCTCTTTTGAAAAGCATAAATTAGTTCAAGTCTCCCCTTTGCTCTAAACAGGTCTTCCTACCTATCTCACTGGAAGTAGGAATCCTCCCAGACAACCTACCAACAAACCTACACTGGGCTCCAGTCATCTGGCTTTTCCCTCCCTCCTTTCCTTCCTTCCTTCTCTCTGGCTCTTTCTGTCTCCTCCCCCCTCCCCCTGCCTCTCTGACAAGCTCTTGCTATGTAGCTATGTAACTAGGCTGGTCTCAAACTCCCCACCAAGCATTAGTTTATGAGTCTATGACACTATGCCCAGGTTTAGCCACCTGGTCTTCTGGCAGGGCTTCTAGCAGCTGAGCAGTGTTCCCTCAATGCCTCTGCACCTGCTGTGCCCTCCTAGTATGCTTCTTCTTTGAACATAACATAACTTGCCTAGGGCTACTCCATGGCACTGTACTAGTCCCACCTCAGAGACGTCATGTCCTCACCCCTGCTTCTGGTTTCAGTGTTCCACACAGCAAGGTGCTCATCCCCCTGTTCTTGGTTACATGTGTTATTGTCCGTATATGAGATGTGAGCCCTAGGAGTGGGCACTGCATCCCTGCCATACCCCTGGGCCAGCATGCAGCAGACACTCGTAAATATTAGCTGAATGAATGAATGAAGGCCTTGTATAAGGTTAGGGTTCTGCTCCTCAGGCTCATAAGAGGGCTGGTGTCAGCTCCAGTGTGCTCCAGAATTGACATATGATCCCTGTGGGCTCATTCTTTTTTTTTTTTTTTTTTGGTCTGGTCATGGGGCCTGAGCTCTGGGCCTGGGCGCTGTCCCTCAGCTCTTCAGCTCAAGGCTAGGGCTCTACCACCTGAGCCACAGTGCCACTTCTGGCTTTTTTTTCTTTTTGTTTATGTGGTGCTGAGGAATCGAACCCAGGGCCTCAGGCATACAAGGGAAGCACTCTACCACTGAGCCACCTTCCCAGCCCTGTGGGCTCATTCTTATGAAGAGCTTCCACTGCCATTGTGGACAACACAAGGGGCTAAACATGTGGGAAGGCTGGTGTGGGAGCTAGGCAGGGCACTTATGGCTCTGTTTACAGATAAGGACAAGAAGGCTCTGAGAAGATGGGACTGGATCAAGAGGCAGTGGGATCAGAGCCTGATCCTACCTCTTCTTTATACCTAAATTGGAGTTCTTGTGTCATGAGAAGCTGGGTGCCCCTTTGCCCTTCCCAGTCCACACAGCTGTAGTGTGGCAGCTCTTGGGGACTGACCTTTGGCGTCTGCCCTGATGCCTCTATTTCCCTTCATATTAATTTTAGTCAAGCATAGGACTCAAAGGCTGCCCTAGAGGTTCTACTGTTACCCCAGTTTCCTTCCTTGGGGTTTTGGAAGATAGGTACACTAATCTGCCTCCTTCAGAGTTCCCCTTTGCCTGCTGCGGTCAGAGTCTGTGAGCTTGCCTTTATAGGCAGAGTGTTTATGTCTCCCAGGTTGCCTTATCCTAGCTTCCAGGGAAGGAAACCACATGCACAGCTGTCCAAATTCACACACCAGACAACTGAGTGGCTAGGCTGAGGCCATGCTCTGAGTTCAGTTGTGAGAAGGCCTACCACTTTAGCAGCCAAGTCTTTACAATTACCCAGATGTTTGCTAGAATCACCCTAGAAGCTCCTGATGTCCAGACCAAGCCATTTTTTTTTTCTTTTGGGAAACAAGTTTGAGAGGCAGAGCACAGAAGAGGAATCTATCTCTGTCTCCAAACCAGAGTCCATAGCAGGCCCCTTGGATGAGTCGAGTGGAAAAACAGACCACATACTCCATGCAGGCAGGCCCTGTTCTTACTACTGGTTCTTGGGCTTTAGCTAAAATGTGTGTAGGCAGGGGAGGGGGGGATACTACCCAAATGAGTAATAAACAGCCCTTTCAAAGACAGAGAGACAGACAGACCCACAGAGCAAAGAAAGATGGGGGAGGGGCAAACCACTCTGTAAGTGAGGGAACAGATCTAGGGCAGAAGGTAACTCTGGCCTTCCAAGGGGGAAGAACTCTGTCTTATTCACCGCCTGTTGCAGAAAATCAACATCTGTTAGAGGAACACACAGGAAGAATTAAACCAAATGCCAGTATCTCATCATTCCAAAGGAGGCACATTGAAGGCACACTGATTCATGCAAACAGGAGCCAGCCCTCTATACCCCCTATTGATCCCTAGATGCATATTCCTAGGTCATAGTCACAAATCTCAAATACCCACAAGCAAAAGACGCAGACTCACTAGCTAAGCATTGTCCCTAAACAAATGGCTCCTTCCTGGCTTAAAAAGGGGCTGGATAGTTACCTAGAGCATTGGCCCTGCCCAAAGGACAGGGTGCCTGGAATGGCAGCCGGAGATTTCAAGTAACTAGTTCTCTCTGATCTTTAAAGTTCTTTCCCAAGCCCACTTCATTTCAAAAGGTCTCAGAATGGTTCCCCTTTTAGAGATACAAAGGCTGCAGTCTCCATCAGGGCAGACAGCTAACAAGCAATGGGGTCATTCCATTTCCCCAGACCTCCCAGTCCTGTGAAGCCTCCTACCTCCTTTCCTTCCATACCTCTGATTCCTTCTCAAGGAAGCCTAGCATTCCCACGAGAACCAGCTGCCTAAGCTCCTCTTAGTCTCCATCTACTCTCTCCCCTCTGCCTGCAATGCCCACCCCAATCCTGCCAGTGTCCTTCAAGCTCCAGTTCAAATGTCACTGCCCACAGGCAGGTTGGAACCAAGCTGGTGGCAACTCCCAAGTGCCTTGCACTGGGGGTTGGGTTATCTGGGCACAGACAATTCTTCCCTATGGGGAGGTGAGTCAGTCCTGGGAGGGCAGTCTCAGTCCATTCCCACTCTGTCCACCCAAGCAGGGTGTGTATGTGGGGGGGGAGGGAAAATATTTGCTTAATTGAATTTGGCAAAGGAGCTTCTTCCAGACAGGGATGAGGGCAGCAGGACTGATCTCCAGGGCACAGAAATCATTTGAGGCAGAAAGGAGCCTGTCAGCTGCTCAGCTGCTTCCCCAAGCCAGACAGACTTCAGTTACCAGGCCAGTCCCTACACCTGAGACTCAGACTCCAGGGAACCCTACTCTTGTTTGGAACTGCCTTCCCATCCTTTTCTCGGTAATAGGAGTCCCAATTCTCGGCCTAGACAGATTCCTGCCACCGTCACCCTAGACAGTCTCAGCACCTCCCTAAAGGCAGAGCCCCTCTGGCATTCACTGCAGGATACCGAACCCCAGTTCTCAGGCCCTCCCTCAAACACCCCCACCGCCTTTTAAGGGAAAAAATATTGAGCTGGGAACATATTACAATCGTACCAGGTCGATACTCCTCTCTTGCTCTAAATGCCTCCTAGGAACCTGCTAGCTCCAAGAGCAATGACCGAAAACTGCGATCTGTCTGTCCCCAGGCCCAGGCCTTCGGGGCCCTCTCTTCCTTTCCGGCCAAGGCCACGCGTTGGCGCTCCGGCCACCCAGGGTCGCCTTCGCCCCTCTATCCCCGGCGGGAGACCCCGCCTTAGCGCCGCTCCTGCAGGTCGTCCGGCCTGGGTTCTGCACCCGAGGCCGCTCTGGGTGCTCTGAGGCCCCGAGAGGCATGCTAGCCGCCCCCTGCCCATCCTCGCAGGCCCGCAGTCGCCCCTTCCAGAGGAGTCCTCAGCCCCGCGCGCCTCCCTCCCGCCGGCACCTGTCAGGCCTTCGGCCACCACCCCCACCCCTGCCCACCTGGCAGACAACCGCGCCCTGCCGGCCCCCCACCACGGAGGGGCATCCCTGACACTGGTGTCCTCCAAGCCCCGAGAAATCTCGAGCACAAAGGCCCAGGCAGGGCCCCGGGTGGGGGTGGGGTGGCGCCCCGACCGCGCCCCCGACCTCCCGGGGTTCGCCGAGTGCGCCCCGGCTGCAGGTCCGCTCACTCACCTCCCGGCCGCGGCACCGTGCATCTGCCGAGCTGATCTGGGCAGGGCGGGGCGGCGAGCGCGGGCCGCAGCCTCCTCGTTCCGCACGACGCGGGCGACGACACCCGCGCGGGGACGTGACCGGACCGCGGGCGGCGCACACACTCGGGTCGGCCTGGCTGCCTCCGCCCGCCCTCCCGCGCCGCCCGCCGCCAGCCGCCCGCCCGCCCGCAAGTCCGCCCGCCCCGCGCAGCGCCGCCGCCGGCAGGGGGCGGAGCCGCGAGCGCAGCGCGTTGCCAGGCCAACCGCGGGCGGGGGAGGGCCGCGCGCCCGCCGGGCACCACGCGCCGGGCGCCGCCGCCCCTCCACTAGCGCCGGCTCATCGCCCATTGGGCGTGTGTGGCCGACGGACGCACCGAGGGTCCAATGGCAACAGACAGGGGCGAGGTCTGGCTCTGCGCGCGCCGCAGTCCCGCACGCGCTTCCCGCGCCAAGTGTCCAAGCCACTTTGCCGAGGCCCTACTCCCCCTCCAGTAGAGTTGCTGTTAGAAACTAGGGAGACCCAATCTGAAAACCGCAATGGCGCTGGCTCCCTCCACTGCGCGCTCCCCCTTCTGCTGGCCTCTTCCCAACTTCATTCAACCCCAAGTGGGTTCCTCCTGTGTTCTGCGACCCTAGACAACCCACCAACCTCTCCCACCGTTTCTATTTCCAAAGTATCCAGTAGCACTTGCTTCACTAGATTGTTGTGACAGCCCTCTAGGACATGTGAAAGACAAACGCAAACCCTAAAGGTTGAACACTCGGTGAGGTTTGTGCATCCCTGGAAGAGGCTGTCACTCTGTCGGGGACATAAGGACTCTTCTAGGAGCTGGTCCCAGCAGGAGGGAGCCAGCTCCCCTGTTGACACCTTTGGGTAGCTCGGAGCCCTGCAGCATGCACTTGAGCCTAAGCAATTTTGCTTTCTATTTCAAGTAGATCCTATTTATGGGCAGGAACCCCTCACTTCAGTGCTTAAAAGGCTCAGGTCGGACAGTCAAGGTATTAGTGCTACGCTGACTTTTTCATCCTTGTAGCATGAAGCATAAGCATCTTAGTGCATCCCTGACAAAATACAAATGTGACACCCAATATTGGCCCCTTTCTTGTCACTTTACATCTTCATAGTGAAATTACTTAGATTTCCCCCTTTGTTAAGCAGAAGCACTGGAACTGGCCATGGGCTGGACAGATGGGATAGTAGGCCTTAGGCCAAGTCTGAAGTAAGAAGGCAGGGGCATGGGTTGGATTCTGCCCGCTGGGTGACTCTAGCCTGCACACATCATCCCATAACCTCCTCTGACATTTGTGCTGAAACCTGAAAAGTCATAGCCCATGTATTATGGTTGTGCTAGTCCTGGGCTTAAACTCAGGGCCTGGGTACTGTCCCTGAGCTTTTTTGCTCAAGGTTAGGGCTCTACCACTTGAGCCACAGCTCCACTTGTGGCTTTTTTGGTAGTGAATTGGAGATAAGAGTCTCATGGACTTTCCTGCCTGGGCTAGCTTTGAACTCCAATCCTCAGATCTCAGCCTCCTGAGTAGCTAGGATTACAGGTATGAGCCACCTGCTTGGCTACTGCCTAAACTTTTAAGAGCAGATAGATGTTGGTTATGAACCACAGTCATGCTCCTTTGGGATGGCCAGTGAGAACTAAAGGACTTTGCCCAGCAGTTGAAAAGCTACTTGGTGTACATGTCTGCTCTGCCACCAGCCTGTGTCAGGCCAACCTTGTGTTGGGAGAAATTTCAGAGCCCAGCACTGTGGTCCCTGACCACAACTGTTTTCTCAAAAGTGAAAAAAAAAAAAAAAAAGACACTGGCTCCTGGAAGGGCAATTAGTAGGGTTAATGTTCATGGGAAACACACATTTGCACAGTCAGATATGAGTAGAGTTAGTTTTTACTGTAGGGCCAAGGGTTCAGTGTTCACTTTTTTGTAAAGAGCAAGCCCAAGTACAAGAGTAGGAAACCCCTTATTGCATTTCAGCTGTAAATCAGAGGCTAGCCCCTTAAGGGGTCCACTGGTTCTGGTTATTGCTTCCCTGACCTGTTCCCTGGAGACCACATCAAGGTGAGGTGAAATGAGATGGTCTTACTGGTAGTAAATTAAAGATTATATTCATTCATACGACAATTATTTATTATCAGCCTCTTCCTTGTGGCACAGAGTTCTAGGATTTACACCTTGTCTCTTCCTGATAGGCCTTGTGGTTCTAAAGCAGGTGTGGAAAGAACTAATTTGCATTATAGTCCTATGGGGCTGGCTGTTGGATGGGACCCACCAAGGCTCTTCAGGCAATGGCAAGGGGAACACTGAGCACTGGGGTCAGCTTTCTTAAGGAAGAGATGCTTGCCTTGAGGCCACAGTAGGACTGGAGATAACTAGTGAAAGGAGGTTGAAGAGAAGTAAGTTCCAAGATGTTCCAGACCAGCTCAGCCACATTGGTGCTCAAGCTTGCACCAATACTAGGAATAGGGATAGTCATCCCTGACTGGTGGCCTTTCAGTTAGACTTAAGAACCACTACAGATTTTTCTTTTCATCTCCCCCATTCTTTATTTCTATGTGTCTTTCGTGCTAGTACTGGGGCTTGAACTCAGGGCTTGGGCTATCCCTTAGCCTTTTCTCTCTTGGCTAGCACTCTACACCTTGAGCCACAGCTCTACTTCCAGCTCTTGGGTGGTTAATTGAAGATAAGTTTCCTTGCCCAGACAGGCTTCGAACTAAGATCCTTATATCTTAGTTTCCTGAGTAGTTAGTATTACAGCTATGAGCCATTGGCACCAGACACCCCTGAAAAATTTTAAGATGAGCTTTTGAAATTTGAGAAGATGGACAGCAAGCTTTTGTTTCATATTGTTTCTGGCATGGTCTCACAGACCATGTGAGCTCTACTCAGGGAATAATCAAATACGAAAGTATCAATTAGTCTAAAAGAATTAAGGAAAAGTAGAAAAGCTTGTCCGAGTTCTAGTTCAGCACAGAGCCTGCTCTGGCCATGGGATTATGGGGACACCAAATGTGCCAGGTGGCAGCACTGGGGGGAGAGAAGGTAGGAGAGGATAGGGAGCAAGGATGGAACTTTAGTGAGTCAGGAAGGATCTTGGGTCAGGACTGGTACCAGAACCTAAGAGACAATGGCTAGGGCTTTATATAGTAGCAAGAAAAAGAATGCCCATTGGAAGCCTCCTGACTCATCAGGAACAGCAGGCTGACCCCTGCGCTCTCACAAAATGATCAAACGTTGGTTGCAGGTGACTCCATGCTATGGGCATCTGCCATCCCTCACATCTAGTCAAGCTCCCTTTCCTCCTGTTCCTTCCAAACACACACCTTTGTCTTTCCCACTGTTTGCCCTTCTGGACTATCCTCTACTTCACTGCAGACACACTTTCCTGGGCCTTTCTTCTGGCACTTCCAGAGCCCTCATGACTCTGGATTTCCTTCCCTATCTGTGTGACAATCAGTTCGGTAATGCTTGACCCAACTGATTCTCCCACTCAACTTCTTACTCCCCCAGTGTAGAATGGGAAGTCTCAAACTGCTGTGATTATTCAGTGTCCAGGGTCTTGCCTGCACATTGCCACCCCATCCTAGCTGGTCCCTCTCTGTTGCCTGCTCCCAAACCTCACTTCCTCTCATCTGCAGCAGCTGGATGGGTTCGTATGGGTTGTTTCCTTGGGGTCCATGGGCCCTGCCCCTACATGAACAAGCAATTGTGGATCTGGGTTAGTTATAAATAGCCAGGCCCGCCACTCTCCTTTTAGCTGAAGAGAAGCAAAGTGAGCGAGCAGAAAGGCACACCCGGCACGCGTTTTATTTTTAATTTTCTCCCTCTGTCTCAAAATGAACCCAGGTCCTGTTGCTGAGTATTTCTAGGAGAAGGTCCCTGAGACAGATGCTCAAGACACAAACTGAGTAGCTGAGGACCCTAGCTTTGTCTCCATCTGCTGTGCTAACTTGGACATTCGAGCTTCTTCTCTGGGCCTGGATTTCCTCACCAAGGGGGAGCAGAGCAGGAGAGATAATCACCTCCAATATTTTGATCTTTTTCATCTCAACTACCATTTTTTGTTCTTTCCCCAGCCTGTGGCCATCTCAACTCAGACATCAGTTCCTGGCAGTTTAAGCAACAGTACCTGTGCTGATATTTCCTGGGAAGCTTAGAGAGATTCTAATCAGGCTCCTGTTCCATTCTTCTTGTTCACCCTCTGCCATTGTGCTCATTTCAGTGCTTAAGAAAACTAGACTCAGAGAGGTTAGGTACCTGGTCCAAGGTCACACAGCTTGAAGAGGACACTTTCAAGAATCAACCCAGGCTTATTTGGAAATCTGGACATGAAAACTGTTTTTGGGATGAGGTACAAAACCCACACATCAGATAGGTACTGGGTACACATGCTTGTTATCCTAGCTACTCAGGAGGCTGAGTTCAAAGCCAGCCCAGGCAGAAAACTCTCTTGAGATTCTTTTTTTTAAATTGTGAAAATACCATACAGAGGGGTTACAATTACATGGGCAAGGTAATGAGTACATTTCTTATCAAGCATTGTTGCCTCCTCTCTCTTGAAATTCTTATCTTCAACAAACCAGTAAAAAGTCAGAAGTAGAGCTATGGTTCGAGTAGTAGGGTACCAGCAAAAAATCTAAGGGACAGCACTCAGGACCTGAGTTCAAGTCAGTACTGGCACAAAAAAGAGAGAGAGATACATGAAAGAGAGAGATAGGGAGGGGGAATAGAAGGAAAAAAACCTTACACATATATTCCCTTTGCTAATTTGGATGACTTTATTACAGTAATAAAACCATTAAAGAGGTGAGAAAGTCATGTGGGTATGAAATTTTAAAAAGCAAATCCTAACACACTTGGAGCAAGAGGAAACTGTTTTCCCAGTGCCCTGAGAACAAATGGGGCAGAGCTAGCTGCTCCAACCAGAGACCACAGGAAGCAGCTGGGCGTCAGGGAGCATGGGGGGGCAGTATGAACTGTTGGACAGCCTGCTCTGCCACTTCACCCCCTGGCCCTGGGCACCCGCCATTTGATGTCCTCAGGGAGTAAGGGAAGAAGGCTAAGGTTATGTCTTCAAAGAGGAAATCCCCAGTGCTAATTGGCACTCAGAGACCTTTAGGT